GGATTTTCCTGTTAGAAAGCGGGACCGGAAAGGGTTTCATCCAAGCGAGATCAAATCGGGGTCGGGACGAAAAAAACCGGTCCCGTCGCTCCCTACCTGTAACTCTTAGTTATGTTCGTAGTATTATATATTTTTCCATCAAACTTTTTATTGCATAAACTTGAATCTGGCATATTTTGAAGAGATTCTCTGAAAATCTTTCAGTATTCGGTTCTGATTATTATATGTACTGGTGGTCGTTCAGGATCATTATATGACCGGACTCTACGATTTACTAACCAAACTAATATTATGTCTTGTAAAAAAAAAGGTGAGCGAATCCAAAGATGCGCGTTAAAACAACTATTCTGTTTAGTATTACATTACTTTTACGTGTCTTAAAGAAAAAAATATCAACAGATGACAATTCAGTTGTTGTTTATATCATTTTTTTTCACATACACTAATCAGTATTATTAACCTATGCTAGTGAATCAATACATTATCTGTACAATTCTTTTGTTACAAATATTTCTCATATTGCATTTATTTATATCTAGTCAAGACGTAGAACACGTATATATTCGTTTTTTCTAAAATAGATTTGATTACTTTAGTTGATGAAAAAATAAGATGTTAAAGACGAAATAATGTAACCTGTCAGGCATGAACAGATTTTCTGCAAAAGACGGAAAGAGAGAGAAAATCAAATGGAAAAAATTACTTTTAGTAACATATTCCCTCCGTCTCTGTCTTCAGTAATTTTTGGTTGAGGACGGATTAAAAGTTACTTGCATACGACTATATTGTCATAACGACCGGTTGAGAACATGTCCACATAATGATCATTCTGTTTTAGATACCTTGTTGATGAATTATATGAATTTTCTTTTTCTTTCATTATAGTGTGGAAAAGACTCCTTGCTATGATAGAGATCCTAGAGAGTTTGCTTTTATCATTAAGGAGATGTAGATATTTCAATTTGAAGAAATGAAATTGTATTACGATTAGACAAAAAATAAAATATTTGACCTATCTTCATTCAAATATTATAATGTATTCTATTTGAGAATATTATGAAAAGAGAAAGAAAAAAAAAGTATGACAGATGCACCTTGTAGAAATAAGTTGATTAAAATAAAAGAATAAGACGTAAAAGATATGATAGTATTAATTCTATCTTTCAAAAGCAACAGTATTTAAAAAATGTCTATTGTTGAAGCAACTGCTCAATTATCTGTTTGGGGTCCAATCACACTATTTTTCATTGGATTTATATCAAACTTTTCCAACATGATTATTTTCGTCGGAGTAAAAACATTTCGGCAATCTCCCAGTACTTTTTATATTATGGGTCAGTCAATCACTAACCTAGGTGCGTTAATAATGATTCTTCTACAAAGTATTCCATCAACATCTGGATCTGCATCATCAGTATCATGTAAGTTAATAATGTACTTTAGTCAAGTAACAGCACCTGCAGCAATGAGTTTTCTTTGGTTATCTGCATTCGATCGATGGGCATGTACATCTCGATCGACGCGAATACGAAAATTAAGTTCAAATCATATAGCTTCTCGTCTCTTTCTATTTCCTTTTGTTTTTTGGTCATTGATCTGCATTCCTTATTTCCTATTTTGCGATTTGGTACCTCCTACGTTTAATTGTATTTATACTAACGAAATTTTTGCCCAAGTTTCTCTTTATTTTCTGGATCCTCTAGTCGCTGCTATATTTCCTCTTATAATTTTAATAATATTCGGTATATTAACATATCAAAATATTTTTGGTGTTACTCGTGTTCATCAAGATTTAGTTCGAACTCGTTTATCAATAACTCGTTTATCAACATGGGAACAACAAATGACGAAAATGATGATTAGTCAAACTCTTTTAACTATTTTATGTACACTTCCTCGAGCAATTTTTTTTATTTATATAATGGCAATAATTAATGAAATAGCAATGAAAAGTGTTGATGAATTAGAAATTATATATTTTATGAATCAATTCACTGCATTTATCTTTGGAATCAATTTCGCTTTATCTTTTTACATTTTTCTTCTTTTTTCACCACGATTTCGACAGACAATTAAAACCCATTTAAAATGTCAATTCCATTTAACAAATAATCAAGTTGCTCCTTAGCCTATCTCGTTTAAAGCTCTGAAAGAGAGTATTAACATCATTATTTAAAACAAAAAAATTCAATATCAAGAGAGATATTCATTTACAAACTTAAACAATTCTTTTTTTTTTGTTTTGTTATTTTTTGAAAAAAATGTATGTTGTACAAACGAAAATTTAATATAAAATTGAACAAGGAAAACTGTTTTCTATGCATTATCTTTTTTCATGATAATATTCTTGATTAAATAACAAGTATTGAGGCAACTCTTTAATCAATTTAATTATATTTAGTTCTTTTCTAAATTGACCATCATTATCAAGAATAAAAGCAAAGAAAATATGTAAGATTAAATCATCTAAATGCGAAAATCATATCTGGAAAATAATAATCAAGATTCTGTTTATATTACATTCATATTATGATCTAATATGAATACACTGAAACGTTATTTAACTCGACTTGTACAGTAAATATTAATACATACTGAATATTGAGGAACAAATGGATAAACTCATTAAATCATTTCAATAATCATTTTGAATTGATAGATATCAACAATGATATTCCTAATATACCAAATATTTTTTTGATTAGTCAATTTCATTTAACATTCGTATACTTACCATTTACAAATTTTTAAATCAATTTTGGTACATGAACGATAAATAAAGTACTTCGATTCACACTTTCATCCTGACTATTATAATAGAAAAGAATATTGTTTGAAAATCGAAAAAGATCATCGCTAGTTCACTGTTTTTTGTAGATTACTTTTTATCTTTGATTGACAGACTATTTTAAGAATACATAACTCTACTTGAACACAATAAACCATAGAAATAGGTTAAAACATATAATTCTAAAATTTCGTTTCATGCAAATAAATTTTGAATCTACGAGTTATAAACAATATATTTTTCTGATTTCTATTTAATAACAGCAAACGATAGTTAAACACTGTGAGTTTTGCCATTCAATTTTTATTATAAAATCAAATAAATAATTTGATTCTAATACAAGATGTTATAGGCAGGAAAAAAAGACAAGTAGAGAAACACATTCATTAGATTATAATTTAAATGTGTTGGGCTACGATTGCTTTTACTACTTTTGGTAATTCATCGCACAATGTTTGACCATCAATTGTTTTTCGAACAATTTTAGTTATTAAATCATAGATTCCATTCAATGCACCTGGTTGAAGTTTGTTTTCAAACAATAATGTTGCTAAATGAATAGCTTCTACTTCAATTCCTTTCAATTCGTCTTCTTGTTCACGTGATACTTCAGTTTCGGTAAATTTAACAATTTTTTGAATTGCACTAATAAAGTCAATTTTTGAATATGCTTGATAAGCTTGTAATTCTTTGATACCTCTAACAAGAAATTCAGTGCGTGTATGATTGAACATAGCTGCAGCATCATCTACTTGGTCACGAATATTTGAAGGAAGAACATTGAGTACTTGATTGATAAGAAGCTAGATAAATATAAAGAAATCATATAATTAATATAACAAAAATTTATGAGTATGGTAACATACATTTTGGAGAAAGTTTCGTGTCTAAAATTCAAAACAAAAAGAATAATTATTATACGATTAAAAGTATTGTTAAATTTAAATGTTTCTCATCTAAGAAAATCAATTGTTTAAATTGGCAAAGTTATCTACATTTTGATCGATACTTTTTACAATTATAATATCTATTAGAGGAGTTGCCTAATAGTTTTTGTCTGTAAATTCAAGAATGTTTATGTATTTCAAAAATAAAACAAACCTCTGGAAGTTCATGAACATCTGAATCTGATATTACTGATGGATATCCTACAGCTATACCAACAGCAATAAAAGCAACAACAGCAGTGATGGCAATGGTCAATGATTTCATGGTTATGAAGTGTAATTGTTAGTGAAACGATATATATGTATATATATGTAAGAATAGCTATGGCGTGAGAATGGTGAGAAATGTACCATATGCTACTTGTATTCGTCGTACAAAAATATTTTTTCATTACAGTCCCACTTTTATTTTTAAAACATTGTTTTTAAGCAATCAAACATCAAGTGATATGATGAGAAATAATGTCATACGTTTATCTATATTTATAATAACAGGCACCAACGCCTACGAATACCAACAATTGATTGAAATGATGTTAGTTTTAAATAGTTTTTTTTTTAATTTTCTTCATATCAATGCAGTTTATCATAATTAATCTGAAACCCTAAAACAGACACATTATTATTAATCGTAATTATATGTACGATTTCAAACATATGCATAAAAACTATTAGAATTTCGTTACATATTTGCACAAAGCTAAAAGATGAAGAGATAATTACTCATCTCTCTTTCAAAAACTGTTCAAGATTTATTTTGCTTGACCAAATATATATTATACTAATAAAATTCAGTTTTGTATTATTTTAAAAGTAAACTAATTGAAACGACTATTCTATTGAAAATTTTAAAATAGATTGACCTTTGTAATGTCAATATGAATAGAGATTTGAATAGAAAAAAGTACAGCAAATAACTAACTATCAAGTTTAAGGTGGCATGTTTTTGAAATTTGCATATTTGAAGGTAAATCTTTGCATAATTTGTTTTTTCGAAATAAATAATATAGATGACGTCAACGAACAAATCTTTTATGAAAATTTCATTTTATTTTATCAGCAAACATTGACAGATAAAAACCCACTCCTCCCCTTTTTTTTCTTGATTGAGTATGATGACTAAACTTATACTGTTCTAATATCAATATTTGATGAACAATCAGTAATACCAAATATTTTGTTAAAAACAGTAGGTGGAAAAATAAACTTGGTTTTCGTTTGGACCAAATTTAAATAGTCCAGAAAAATCAGAAATTTAGTTACATATGCATATTATGATTAACATGAAAGCATTACTTGTCTGTTTACTCATTGTAGCAAGTAAGTCAAAATAGTATTTTAATTTTCATTTTGATATCGAATATCACTTTACAAAAAAGGAAACATGAATATTATAGTAGAATTTAAAATATTATTCGATGAATTTGATAAGAAATAATCGATTTAATTTTTTTTTGTAGTTATTGAACGTAGCAATGCTGCTTTTCAATGTTACAAATGTAATAACTGTGGAGTGACTATGAATCGTAATATAGCCACAATAGCTCTCACCGAAGGTGGAAGTAACTATTGCACGGTAAGTTTTTTTTCTAAGCTTGAATTTAAATAATTATATTTGGTCATTTGTAGAAAAAAGTTGTTGGTACTGCAGTAACCAGAGATTACAGTCCAACATGTACTCAAGGTAATGGCATGTATTGTTGTCAAGATGATTTATGCAATTCATCCAATTCTAAATATTATGTCAATGGTGGTCTATTCATATTATTCTCGATAGTTGGCTTTGTTCTACGACAAATTTAACGAACAAATCTACATATATATGCTTTTTTTTTATTTGTTTTTCTTTTTTAACACTGATAAATTTCACTTGTAATGAAGTGTCAGAAAATTAGTGTTTCTGGTTTTTGTTTAAATATATATAAAAATACGAGAAAAAAATTATTTTCTTTGAATCAATAAACAGATATTTTCACTTCTTATGCTAATTATTTAAAATTACACTCTCTCATAATAACGAAATGAACTCTATCAATTCAAAGAAACAGACATTGGACAAGTACAAGTATACCCAGTAAAATTACAAATGTGTGTAAAAACTGGTCTAATATCTATTCATACCTTTAAAAAACTGACTAACATCTGAATTAATGACAAACTTCTTTCACACCTTAATGATATCTATAAAATGAATGAATATAAGTTATATTTAACAAAATATAGATGTTATTATTGTTAGTTCTTGATTAAAATTTATTGTAGATAAATATCTCATTTATCTCTTGTTTCAGTAAACTGCTTTTGATTCACAAATATTTCACTGATAGTTTTTATTTTTAATTGTTTATTACTTTATTTTATTTTATTGAATAAGAAAAAATCATCAGTTTTTGTTAAAAAGTTTTTTATATTAATTATCTGAAATACTAAGACAAAAATATTGATACAAGCCTTTTAAAGTTATGTCCATATATATATATATAATTATCACCGACAAAACATAGTCGAGCAGAAAAAAATTCATATAAACGTATCATTAAACAACGCTTATGTCATTAATTACAACTGGAAGCCGAAGCAAACTAAAAAGAGATGAAATAATAGAATTTTAATTGAAACGGAAAATCTATATAAGCAAGTGTGTTAATAATATTTGAAATATACGAGATCTGAAAACTAATCAAGGTACTTTTGTACTTACAGTACAGGTACTTAAGTAAATCAATATTTAGTACAAGTCCCCAGTACATTTTTGTAATATAAGTACATTTACTTGTACTGCAAGAAATTTACTTAATACTTAAGATTTTAAGTAAAAAGGACGAAAAGACCGAATAGTGTACTAAGTATTCAATGTCTGCAAAGAAAACAATAATCATGAATAATTATCCGATAGTATCTTCACTAAAAACATAATTCTGCTTGTTGTGAATATAGTAAGATGTTATATTTCAAGATTTTTCGACAATCAATTAGTTAGTTGCTTTCAAAATAATTTTCAATATTAGTTTTTCTCCTGGCTACTAATTGACAATAAAAATAATGAAAGACGAGTTCTATAAATATCCTTCTTCTAGTTTTGCACGGGATGCATAGAAGTAAGTTGGACAATATATGAATTTATTTTGTATCATTATTCTTTATTTGAGTGGGCATAGAATAAAAAAAAAAGGAAAGAGAACATAAGCTAACGATGAATTAAAAGAAAAGTTAGTCGTGCAAGAACTTTAGTTCGTGACTTTTTTTCTTCAAATGTGATCTCGTGATGTTTTGACTAATCATTTAATTGACGCCATATTTACCATATCAACAAAATAATAAAAGATAACACTATGAAAATACGAAACTATTTTTGTAAAAAAAATTCTCTTAACTAAATCTGATCATTTTTAAGGGAATGATTGGTGTGTGACAAAAGCAATAAGAACATGTAGAAATTAAAATAAATAATGTAATAGATATTAGATATTAATTTCAATACCTTCCAGTAGAAGATGTTGTTCTTGTCTGCTACAAAAGTCAGTGCACTAAATAATAAAATAATATTTTTTACTTAGCTATTCACTTTTGTATGTCACTATCCTATAAAATATAATCTATATTCTATATTTCGAAGTTCATTCTTTATTAACTTAAAATATTACGACAATTATACTGATACACAACATAAAACACTAGTATATTCTACATGAAATATTTCAGTTAGTAATGCATCATTGTTGATTATGGCTAGGCCACCGCTATATCTGGTGGAACATTATTTTGATTTACTGAATGCTCATTTTGATTGCCACCACATTTTCGAAATGTTTTGTGGAATAATTCTTTAAGTTGTTTTCTATACACACGACTAGATAGAATATATGAAAAGAATGGCATACCAATTGAAAAAGTAATGAGCACTTGAAAGACTGCAGCCACAAAAGCATAGGTAGGTGTAGTACGAATGTAGTTAGGGAAAGTACCAATAAGGTAACTGACACTCGTTGGTAGAGTGAGCAAAACTTGTGCACCAACTTGAAAGAAAAGCATTTGACCTAGTTGATTTTCAGTACGACTAAAACGTGAAACACTTATTGGAGCTATACGTGAACGCTTGGCATTTTTTATTGTAATAATACCACACATAATCATGAGACTAGGTGGAACAACAGTAAAGAGAAGAACTTGTATGATGATGTATACTTGAAAATAGGTTGTATTGGCTTGCATCATACATATAAAGCCTTTATCAGGCTCTAATCCATATATAACTAAGATATGAATGAAAAATAATGCAAGTACACCAACAACAAGAAAGATCATCCAATGTGCTACTCGAACATTACTAAACTTGCGTATTTGAGCATTGCGTGAACTGGCACAGCATCGATCAATAGAAGCCAGTATAATGAAGTATGTTGCCAGAAAAGTAGTTAAAGTACTAATATAATTAACAATCTTGCATGCGATGATTGAATTAGTGGTTATATTAATTTGATATCCATTAGACAATATACGATAAGTCAAAAGCATAGTTGAATAAAATAGATTGTTACCAGCAAGTGCAAGAAAATACCGAGAACAAGCATGATAAAATAAACAACGTTGACTGAGTAGGGCAATATTGAGGGAGTTACCTATGATACCGATAATGGCATAGATTGGTAGGATAACTCGTTGAAGTGAGGTTGAAATTTGTGTCAAGTCGGACATTGTGCGTGTTTTTTTCTGATGCTTATCTATGTCAATGTACGCCCTTTTATACGATTTAAATAAATTATTATTAGAATTAATTTTATTGACATGTTATGAATATTAATAGTTTTGAAAAAAAACGGATGCTTTTATCTTAATGGAACTTTACGGATAAAAACTTTAATGGGCATTATTAGACTAATTTGTTTTATATATATCTGGGACTGCAAAAAGTTCCTCTTATATGATTTAATTAAAGTATGACGTATATCTATTCTTTTTAAAAATGTAGAATGTTAAAGTCTTTAGATGACTTTGCTGCTGTAATATATATTGTCCAAGAATAAGTTATGTTAATACGAAAATAACTTTTTATTTTCATCAAAAATGATTTTGCATCTACATATTCAATTAATCAAGAATGATAAGAATTAAAATTTTTGTTTACAAGTATTCATATATTTCTATTCGACTCTTTATTTTTGCTTGTAATGTCACTGGATTTTACGAGAAAGAATGTGATTGTATATCATGCATAGAATATTCAAGATGTTAGAGAACGTTGTTGAAAAGAGAATGGATTATGAACTTAACAATCTTGAAAAATTAAAATCTTAATTTTATAATATAGTCAGAAAGTTAAATTTTTTAACTTGAATGATCGCTATTAATAACTGTGTTGATCAGAGTAACAATTTAGATACAATTGAAAAGATAAGTGCTATTTCATTCATCACGATTTGAGAATAAAATTATTCGCAGCTATCCTCTGTAATGAGTTTAGACATTAACTGAATGATTTATCATCATATATTTACATTATATTGGTGTTAGAAAAGTTTTGATAAAATCGTTTTAGTTCGATAATAACTTAAATGTATTTGTTATTGAAGATCGCTTATCTTTCATAGAGAAGGAAAAATCAAGAATTTAGTTACATATACATATTATAATGACTAAAATTTAATCGGGCAATAAATAATATGAATGAGCAATAATCAAGTTTAGCGATAATTGTATTAACTGAGCGATAAATATAATAATTCAGCTAAAAGTAAACTAGCTAAATAATAGTTTATTAAAACTGAAGATAAATATTACATAGGAAGGGCAATATGGATTTACTTTTTGTGTTTCTTTTGTTCTATACTATATTGTACAGATTACCGGGAAAAGACCATATGTGAAAGAACGAAAAAACATTTGTGTACATATGCGAAGTGAAGAGAATGATTCCAATGAACTTCTAACATGTACATATAATCTCCTTCATTTTCTTGGATCTCTTGGTTTTGACCAACCGCTCATATCTCTTTACGTTTTTCCGGGATTTTCTCTTCACATTTTATGCTAATTACCAAATTATTTTGGATTTTCCCTCTCACTTGTTCTCTATATATACATACATTGTCACCATTTGTAAAATAAAAAAGAAAATTATGTTTCATCAGTGAGATCGATTTACCCGTTAACAATTATACCGTTTGCACAGATGACTCAGTCACAAGGCGTATCATAATATGTTTCTGTTGCTGAAAATGATGATGATATGCAACTAGACTCTTCTACTAATAGTGAAAATGTTCAAAAAAAAAAGAAAATGGTTTCCAGTATGCACATACAATAACAAATTTGCATTTGCCCATCACTTCTAAAAAATTACATCTCCTAGCACATCATCGGATTGTCCATAGGACTGAAATATTGCAAAGCTCCACCAGAGGCAAAAAATGTAGCAATTGGTGCAAAAAGAAAGTGAGGCAAGCCATCTGAAGCTAAAAAGGCTTTCATCGAACAGTAATTTTTCTGTTATTAAAATATAAGCTTATTACCGCTCAAATATATATTTATTACTACAGTTAAATCAGTTCGTTATTATCCATTTTGTAATATATAATTACTGCTCGCTTCAATTTTTAAATTGCCCATAAAAATACTAGTCTATTACGATTAGCATGAAAAAATTACTTGTGTTTTTACTCATCGTAGCAAGTAAGTTAAAGTAGTTTTTTAAAGTTCATTTTGATATCGAATATCGCTTTACGAAAATGAAACATTATTACATGAATTTGATAAGAAATAATTGATTTAATTTTTTCTAGTTATTGAACGAAGCAATGCTGCTTTTCAATGTTACAAATGTAATAACTGTGGAGTGACTATGAATCGTAATATAGCCACAATAGCTCTCACTGAAGGTGGAAATAACTATTGCACGGTAAGTTTTTTTTCTATTTTTGAACTTAATTAATCATATTTGGTCATTTGTAGAAAAAAGTTGTTGGTACTTCAGTAACCAGAGATTACACTGCAACATGCACTCCAGGTAATGGTATGTATTGTTGCCAAAATGATTTATGTAATAATTTAACGAACAAATCTACACATATATACGCTTTTTTTTATTTGTTTTTCTTTTATAACACTGATAAATACCACTTATAACAAAGTGTCAAAAAATTAGTGTTTCTGTTTTTTTTTAAATATATATAAAAATACGAAAAAAAATACATTATCATTGAATTAATAAACACATAATTCTGCTTGTTGTGAATATAGTAAGATGTTATATTCCAAGATTTTTCGACAATCAATTAGTTAGTTGCTTTCAAAATAATTTTCAATACTAGTTTTTCTCCTGCCTACCCATTAACAATATATCAATTCATTTTGTATCATTATTCTTACTAGAGTAACATTTGGTACTCTCTATCTGATTGGGCATAGAATAAAGAGAAAGGGAAAGTGAATGTACGCTAACAATTAATTAAAAACAAGTTAATCCTGCAGAAACATTAATTCATGACTTTTTTCCTTCAAATGTGATCTCGTGATGGTTTGACTAATAATTTAGTTGACGTCATAGTTACCATATCAACGAAATAATAAAAGATAACACTATGAAAATGTGAAACTATAGTTTTGTAAAAAAATATTCTCTTAACTAAATCTGATCAATTCAAGGGAATGATTGATGTATAACAAAAATAATAAGAACTTGCAGATATTAAAATAAATAATGTAATAGGTATTAGATATTTATTTCAATATCTGATAGTAGAAGATGTTGTTTTTTTTATTAAAAAAAAATGACATATTGTTCTTGTTTGATACAAAAGTCAGTGCACTAAACAATAAAGCAATATTTTAATTAGCTATTTACTTCTGTATATCATCATTCTACAAAACATAATTTATATTCTATATTTTGAAGTTCATTCTTTATTAAACTATAATATTACGACAATTATACTAATACATTTAACATATAATATTAATAATACTCAATGATTTATTTCAAAAGAACTATTTTAGAAAAGATAAAACATTTCAGTTGATAGTGCATTGTTGTTGATTATGGCTTGGCCACCGCTGTACCATGATGAATAGTATTTTGATTTGCTGAAGGATCTTCTTGATTGTCAACACGTTTTCGAAATATTTTGTAGATTAATCGTTTAAGTTGTTTTCTATACACACGACTAGATAGAATATATGAAAAAAATGGCATACCAATTGAAAAAGTGAAGAACATTTGACAAATTACAGCTGCAAAAGCATAGGTAGATGTACTACGAGTTGGATTAGGTAAGGTGCTTATAAGATAACTAACACTTGTTGGTAGAGTGAGCAAAATATGTGCACCAACTTGAAAGAAAAGCATTTGACCTAGTTGATTTTCAGTACGATTAAAACGTGAAATGCTTATTGGAACTACACGTGAACGCTTCATATTTTTTATGGTAATAATGCCACAAATCATCATAAGACTAGGTGGAACAACAGCAAAGAGAAGAACTTGTATGATGATGTATACTTGAAAATAGGTTGTATCGGCTTGTGTAACACATGCAAAGCCTTTTCCAGGATCTAACTTACATATAATTAAGATATGAATAAAAAATAATGCAAGTACACCAACAACAAGAAGAATCATCCAATGAGCTACTCGGACATTACTAAACTTGCGTATTTGGGCATTGTGTGAACTGGCACAGCATCGATCGATAGAAGCCAGTATAATGAAGTACGTTGCCAGGAAACTAGACAAAGTACTAATATAAGTAACAATCTTACATGCGATGATTGAATTAGTGGTTATATTAATTTGATATCCATTAGACAATAAGCGTTGAGTTATCATAATAGTTGAATAAAATAGATTGTTACCAGCAAGTGCAAGAAAATACCGAGAACAAGCATGATAAAATAAAGAGCGTCGAGTGAGTACAGCAATATTGAGGGAGTTACCGATGATACCAAGAAGGGCATTGATTGGTAGGATAACTCGTTGAAGTGAGACTGCAATTTGTGTTAAATTGGACATTGTTCGTGTTTTTTTCTGATACTTATCCATGTAAATGTACGTCCTTTTATATGATTTAAATAAATTATTATTAGAATTAATTTTATTGACAAAAAACGGATGTTATTATCTAAATGGCATGTTATTTGTAAAAATTTTAATGGGCGTTATTGTACTAATTTGTTTTATATATATCTATGGCTGCGGAAAGTTCGTTTTATATTGTTTAATTAAAGTATGACGTATATCTATTCTTTTTAAAAATGTATAATCTTAAATTCATTAGATGACTTTGTTCCTTTAAAATATATTCTCCGAGAATAAGTTATGTTATGTTGTATCTTCATTATTTCGTTATAACCAATTATTTATCAATAATCTTTTTCTTGCATCAATTAATTACTTGATAGAATCAGCAAACATTCATGAACCAAAATCGTCTCGTCGAAATATGACAGCACCTTTTCACTTTCATCAAGTTGAAAAAATAAGTATTATTTCATTCATCACAATTCGAGAATAAAATTATTCGCAACTGCCCTCTATAATGAATTTAGACATTAACTGAATGACTCATCGTGACATATTTACATTATCTTCGTGTTAGAAAAGCTTTGGTACAATTGTTTTCGGAGATCACTTATCTTTGATAGAGAAAGAAAAATCAATTGCAAAACAGAAAATATTATAATAGCTAGTATTGTGACTTTTTACTGCCACAAATTTTACTACGTAATTATAAATTTAGAAAAAAAACAAGGTATTTCTTTTAACTGAGATACTCATTTTCTTAGATGTTAAGTACAATGCGGTTTAACATGAATACTTCCTTCTTTAATTTATAACGGAAAATTTTAATTTTAGCGATTAATAATGTAAGTCGTCATTAATCTTTATTTAAATTATTGATGTAGAAAAACATGCACTAATATCCATTTATATGCTTGCATGAAACAAATTATCAATTTGATAGATGTCCTTTTGACCTTAGTATTATATATTTAATAAATTTACAACATCTATGATATATTCTTATCAATAATTTGATCAGTAATATAAATCTTTCTAATCTACAACAGATTATGATTCGTAAACCTCTTTGTTATTATTATTCATCATTAAAATCTGAATGTTTACAAGAAATTGTCTCCTCTTATTTACATCGATTAGGACCTGGTCAGTTACCATTAGAACTTTCTACAATTAATAACAACGATACAACATTTATTCCATGTTTACTTGTACCACATGGTGCTTATTGTGATTCAGGACCTCTTTATGCTAAAGCTTATTATTGGTTAAATTCATTTATCTTCGATACAGTTCTTATAATCGGAACAAATCATAGTGGTGCAGGTTTATCTAATGTCAGTCTTTCTCCTGATAATTGGCAAACACCACTTGGTGTCGTTGAAACTGATGCAGATTTATTTAATATATTCGTATCAATATTAGGTATTCAATATGTCGACAGAGAAGCACATCGAAATGAACATTCCATAGAAAATCAATTACCATTTTTAAAACATATACGACCAAACGCTAAATTAATTGCATTATCACTTTCAAGATTAAACGATTTGAATAAAGGATATCAAATATGTGAACAAATTAAAAAAGCAATTGATTTATATCAACAACAAACAGGTATAGATAATGATAGAAAACTAGATATGCATAGTAATTTATTTAAGTTATGTTTATTATTCATAGGTAAACGAATAGTTATTATTTCTACTACGGATTATACTCATTATGGTCCTGGTTATGGTCAGAATAATGCACAAAATTTATCTGCAAATGAAGAATATGCTCGTGTTAATAATAAATCTATTTTACAATCCATTTTATCAAATAATCCTGAACAACTTTTACAAACTCAACAAATAACTCAAAATTCAATGTGTGGATTATGGCCATCATTAATCATTATGATTTTATCTCGATTATTGAATAATAATAAAGGACTATGGAATGTTCTTTCCTACAATGTCAGTTCAGAAGTTATGAAACGTGGTAAAGATGTTTGTGGCTTTGCATCACTTATATATTCAAATACTGTATAAAAAAAAAGATTTTTTTTTTCTATTTCTAATAAATTAATCATAGTTAATTCATTGCATTGTTTAACAGACAATTATTCCAATGTATACATTGCCATTTTATTTCATGAATAAGACTCTAAATAATTTACAACAAAAAATAGGATTTATTTTGATTAATCATAATAAAGAAATTCAGATTTCTTGAAAACAATTGAACATTATTGGTAGTAGATGTAATAATCTAATTTAATAGTTCTGTACATAGTTTCGACATTCTATCTTGATGAATTACATAATGATTTAGAAGTACAATGTCACATATGAAGATGCTTAGAATAAATACTAGTTCTAACATGCTGCTTAGAACCAATTAAAATCTTCTATATAACTTTCTTTTATAAATTGATATTTTAAAAGATGAGAAAAAAAATTCATTGGCATTAGTACGTCCATTAGAGGTGCTACATATATATATATATATATTCTTATCTATTCTTCTAATAATATCATGCTTGTCGAATGAATTAGGCAGCACTCAACATCATCGACGACACACTCCATCGATCATCGTCACTGACAACTGGTGTTATATGTTATCATGGCAAACAAATCTTAACTGTACGATCATTTGCGCGTTCATCGATTCTATCATTGATGATCTTTTACTCTACGCAGCAATTAACACGTTTTCTCTCTTTTTGTTTCTCTTCTATCGTCAATCATATTCTTTTTCGTCACCATCGTAATGTTTTTACAACTGGAGCTTGTCTTACATTCTCATTAAATCCAAGTACATATAACAAATACTATTTTGTTTTATACGAATTCTTCTACGATATAGATAAATTGGATGAGAAAAAGGCAAAAGAAAGAAGATCAACGATATGGTAAATTAACTTTGTTTCGTCTGACACAAGTCAATAAATCACCGTCGATTTGTTTTTCTTCGACACAATCATATATAGATAGACATTGGAATGTATATATATTGAAAAAAAGAGCGAATAAGGCCAAAAGAGAATCTTGAAAAATAATTTATTAGAGACAAGAAAAAGTGATAGCAGCAATGAAGAAGCGGGTAGTGGTACAAGCATAAAGCAAACGAAAACAAACTACATGTTCAAGAATAATAATAAGGATAGAAGAAGACGAAGAAGAAGAAAAAACAATGTGATGCCGAGGGTATAAGTGGATGATCATTATATCTGCACAGCCATAACGGCATTATATTAAGGAGGGGCTCAAAAAACAAGAAAAAAAAAGAGATGCAAAAAGAAAAAAACGAAAGTTTCAATCGCATAAACGATAGGCAACCGATTGTGTTCCACCCAATGATTGTGATTCGCTTATTTCAAAAATATATGCAACACATAAAAGTAATTCATCCGTATCTTTTGATACAACTGTCTAAAAAGAAGAAGAATTTAATGAAGAGAAAAATTATGTTAAGAAAGATTCTTACCTGAAGTACACTTAAATGTTCAAGTACTGCATTCATCATTTCACGCATATATATTCCTGTTTTAAGTTTTTTTATAAATTCAACCATATAACTACACATTGTTGTATCATTTGAACGATAAATACATTTGCCAATAATATCATTATATTTTGTTACACCACTCTAATAAAGACAAAATTCATTATTGAAAAAACAAAATCTATGTATCAGATATTTTACTTCAATTTTTTCAACAGCCGTTTTTCCATATGAACATACTTTTGTTGTTATATTAATATTTAAATTTTCTTCTGAACTTTCAAAACTAAAAAAATCAAAATAAATAAATATATATATAAAAGAATTATTTGTTTTTCTTTACTAATTAGAACAATGATATATATTTGCAGCAGTATCTTGATAATTCATATTAACCTATTAGAAAAGAAATTAAGTTATAAATAATGAAAAAGAAAAAAAAAACAAAATTAATACCCAAACTTTGACAACATAGAAAGCATCTTGTGGTCCTTTGTCATAGAGTTCTTTTAACATTGGAAATATATCAATAATTTGGCTCACTTTGATACGCTATTAGTAGTAATATATATATAATAAAATATAATAAGATTCAATCAACTTACTTCAGGTTTAATATCAGTACCAGCGTCTTGACTGATATGAAGGAGATAATGTCTCTAAAATAAAATGATATAAATATGATTCAATAGAAATTTTGTTAAATATCTTACTGAATCAATATCACGTTTTGATTCAATATATCCAGCAAATTCCACAAGTTTCATTCGATTTGAACTTATAAAACGTGTTGTTAATGAATTTGTTGTACTTGCTGTTGGTATAAGTTCGATGGGTGTTGTCGATGATGGTGAAAATGGTTTAATACTAATAAATTAGATTTGTTTTTTTAATTTAATTATAAAGTAAAAACTTACTCAAGATAGGGTGTATTTGGTTGTTGCCAGAGACTCTAAAACACAAGAAGAAAAAATAAATAAACAAAAAAAAAGAATATTAGAAAAGAAAACATACAATTGTTGATGGTGATGAATATGGTGAAAGATTTGCTGTCGATTTAAATGGTGATGATGATGTTGGTGTTATATTCATATTTGTTGTTGGTGAAAAAAGTGATACACCTGTACGATGATGTGTATAATATGGTGAATTACTATCAGTTATAATTGGTGATGTTGTTGTATTATCACGTAATGGATGATAATGTTGATTCATAACAAATGGACGATGTTGTTCTTTTAAATTTGAATCCTAAAATAGGTACGACAAAAAAAACCGAATGTTTAGTTTTTTAATGATTAATTTATTTACCTTAAATAATGATTGAAGTTCTTTGGATTTTCGTTTAGCAAGAACTTGAATATGTGATGAAACTTGTTTTCGTGTACGTGATTTACCCGTACGCATTTTAATATAACGTGAAATAAGTTCATTTCTTCCGAACATTTTACCTTCATCGGATAAAATAATTTTTCTTCGACCACATGGAGGATAAATAGCTAATGCTTCCTAGATTAATTGATTTA